TGTATATATATATGTATGTATATATATATATGTATATATGTATGTATATGTGTATATATATATGTATATATATATATTATATATATACATTATTCATTTTTAATATTATTATAATTAATATTATAAACATTATGTTATTCCCCTGTAATATTATTGTGTTTTTTTTTTTAAATTTGTTTCCTTTCTTTTGAATATTCTATGAATAATAAAATAAAACATTAAAAATCATTAATACATGTAAAATATTGTTATATAGAAAGCCTATATAAAATCAAATTTGACGTGAATGCAATGCAATGCATGAGTTGTTATTGTTTGCAACTAATGAAGAAACTGATTGAGATCGGAAAGTATGAATTCATTAACATATTTGCATACCTGTCTGTTTTTAATGGTAATTTGCAGGATGAGAATAATTACCTTTTTTATAATATATTTCGTATTTCTGATCATGATTGGTAGAATTATTGACTTTATGTTGCATTTAGATGTTGATCGATTTTTCTTGGCCAGGTTTAGTGCTTATTTGAGATGTTTCAAGAAATGATTTTCGAGAAAACCATCTTGAATTATTTCGATCCCATCATCCTTTAGGTATGCGTTGATCTTCCAGTGACATTCTTAGTTACCACATCCTGGTTTGCGAATTTGTATAAGTGTTTGCGTAATTCTTGTGAATTCCAAATGGTACCAAATAAACATCTCTCGGTGCCCGGCTATAAATACAATTTGGCTGCTGAAGGGGGTTTTAAAATGTGTCATGCATAATTCGTAATTTTCCTGTGGTGGAAATTAAAGTGTCGGAGCCCAGCATGCTGCCTTTTGTGGATTACCTGCGTGTAAATTGCCTCATTGAGACAGCGACGTTACTTTGACATCGGTGGGTGAGACCACTTGAATGTCACCATCTCCTGCATCGCTGCTTTATGTTGTTGTTAAGCGCCTAGAGGTTATTAACATTAGGCACTATATAAATATTGATTATTATTATTATTATTATTATTATTATTATTATTATTATTATTATTATTATTATTATTATTATTATTATTATTATTATTATTATTATTATTATTATTATTATTACAGTAACTATAGTTTGGCGAACTGAAATTAACCCATTCACATTTCTAACGGAGTTTTTGCTAGGCGAAAAAAATGCGTAACCAATCAGAGCACAGAAAGCGACCCGACGCTTTGATTCGCGCGAATAAATTCGTCTAGTGGAAAACAGGCCTATTCTTTGACAAAAAGGGAAAAAAAATAACTGTTGTATGCCAATGTTATAGTAATGATGTGTCTATATAACATGTCATATGTTTCTGTCTAATAGAATTTGATAATCTTAACTTTAATTTAATTATTTATATTATTTAATTCAAGTATTGGATGGGTTTAAACTGTTTAGTTGCTCTTTGGCAGATCTCATCATCAATCAGGTTGAGTCTGAAGTGACGTCTTTGCTTTCTATCTGACGTCTATTTAGCGAAGATCTTCTACCATCGTACCAATATTTTTAAGGCTTAAAATAATACTGGTGGAACTAGTGCGTTTTGTACATGAAAATAGATCGACATTTCAAATACTTCAACTGTGTTTATATTGAGAGAGCCAACTTATAATTCGGTTTCGACTGATTTCTATTTTCAAGATTTACTGGAGATTTATGTTGACTTCATGCAGTTAAAGACAGATTTTACACAATCTTATCCCCTTCTTTATAACTCTTGAATCTCTTAAAATTTAGGTGTTGGTTGTCACCAAAAGTAATTAGTAGTGATGTAATGTATACCAAAGTGTCTCAACGCGCTCGAGTATGGGGTGCCATACGCAGCACAAGTCCATGTTAAAATCAAAATGTAATTGCAAAATTCAGTGTCTAATTTATCTCATAATTCGACCTTGTTCCGGCTTGACTAATGTGAGTTGTTTTTACATTGTAATTGAGTTTGAGCCCCCAGGAGATGAGTCTGTGTGGTTACCGTAAATCAAGAATAGGCCGAGTGTCGCTCTCGGTTAAACACCGCGGGATTTTTTTAAGTGATACTCTATTTTGTATACACCAGTGCCAGGTCCAGGCGTTGAAATGTGCGCTCACTCCCGACAGCAGCATATTATGCATATAGGCCTTTTTTTTTGGGAGGGAGGGGATTTTTTTCGGGGGGGGGGGAACTCTATGCATATAGGTCTTTTTTTTTGGGAGGGGGGGATTTTTTCGGGGGGGGGGAACTCTCACACATTACCCAATGCGCCTTGATGTTACTTCATCGGACACTATATAAAATAACCGAGCTTTCATAGATTTAAACAATAATAACGTCAGATAGACAACACTTGGTAGCATTCTGAAACTCTAATAACTGTAAGTAGGCGTCGCTCTCGAGTACGTTGAAGGTACTTTTAAAATACGATTGGTGTTGTGATATCGCGTTTGTGAATTGAAATAAATCAAATTATATTACATTGAATCATCAATTTGACTTTAACATACATTTTAATCGAAGAAATGATAAAAAATATTATAAATCTTTAAAAAAAGAAAAGGAACAAGAGAAACAAAGGTAAAACAAATTATAGAACTATTACGGTATATAGACAAAATCAAATTATATTTACAATAAGTCAAATGAATAATAATTATATAATAAAATACGTTATTTAGTTTAGTACAGTGTTTAGCGACGACACGTTTATAAAATGAAAAGAAAAAAAAAACATCACATTAGTTATAATTAGATTAGATTAAAAATACTACTTTCCTTTCACAAATTCAGTCATATTTTTCTCCAGCAGTTGTTAGAGAACTTTACGGTTATTAATGCGTGAAGGCCAAATATTCACTGCAGGAAATGGGTAAAAGTAAAAAAAATCATGAATAGTCATGATAGCTGTAATAACGATACCGTAAAACCTTAAATAGTGCTTAATCTCGAGAAATCCGTCTCTCGAACAAAATTCTCCCCGCCCTCTTCTTCAGTTTGCAATAATAATAATCTCAAAAAGAAGTCCATGGGCTTATTAAATGGTTTTCTTTCAAGGTAGTACTTACATTCAAACTGACGTTATATTTGATGATTATAATAGCATGTCAGCAATATTGTACTAGCATGGTTATACAGGGACGTAGTCAGTATTTTGAAAGTGGTGGTGGGGGGGGGGGTTATGCGAGGTACGTAGGACCACGTGCGAGGGATGTCCAGGGGCGTGATAAAGTGAAAATTGTAATAAACGCATTATAAATAACATTAGTAAGCCTAACAATAATTATATAAATCTCAACAGTGGTGGATCCAGGAATTCAATAGAGAGGTGGCCCAGGGAGGGACTTTTACAGATTGAGGAACCACCCACCTCAGCCCATGGTTGGGGCTGAGGTAAGAAAATTTATGGACACCTCTATATGGCCGGAAATTACACTCTCAGACTTAAATTTGGATAGGGAGCCTATTGTTTGTTTTGTTTTTCATTAAAGAAATTTAGGGGGAGGGGGCCCTTGAATCCACCACTGCTCAAAACATTCTTTATCTAAAATGTTCATAAACACGAAAAATGGGCTTGTAAAACCAGATCACACCCTAAAAACAAATTTATGCATTCTCGCCTCATCAGCAGTCACTAAGACATACTCTGAGTCAGGTGTCGACTCGATGGAGTTTAATGTCATACCAGGAAGGGCGCACTCGGTTTTGAAAGGTGGAGGTAGGAAGGGGACATTTCATGAGTCGACACCCACCTCAGACCCACCATCGTTAGGGCTGAGGTGCGAAAATTTGAGGAAATAGCCCAGAAAATGACATTTTTAGTAAAATTCCTCATCATCATCACATCACCATTATTATATATACTCAAAATGAAGCGCCAACAAATTAATTTCTCATTATCTTTTATCAGGGATTTTCGACAACCACAGAGATCTTATTAATATGTGTGATGTACCATAGAAAATAAAGCTTATAAACATTGTTTTTGAGTATGTACTTTACATACTTCAAAGCCGTGAATTCGCAACTACCTCAGCCCCACCATGGTTGGGGCTGAGGTGCGAAATGTGAGGAAATAGTACCTCTAGATGGCCGGAAATGCCACGTTTATATAGTAAATTCATCATCATCATCATTACAACATAGACAAAATGAAGCGCCAACAAATCTCATGATCTTTTATCAGGGATCCACTTAATATCCAAGACAACCTAGGCCTAACTATAGCTTACTAAGCATTAACTATACTATAATAACTTATTTTTAAAACTAGGGACGGCTTACCATAACCTTTGGTGTAGCATAGCTAATTGTTACCACCTTAATAATGCTTGCTCATGTAAGCTGTGCGGTAATTCCGTAAACCTCACCAGGCAGCATTTACTGGTGTGTCCTTGGGTGACGGTGGATGTTGGGGTACACAAAAACGTAAGGATGGTTGAATGCATACTTTACCAAATTAAGTAAATAAATAAGTATATTAGCTGTAATAATAAAATAAATGATTATACAAAAAAAAAAAAAAAAAAAAAAAATGATTAAATTCTGTTTGCATGTTCCACAAGGTTTTTTTTTTTCATGGTGACTCTGGTTTGCGTGCCAGTTATGTTTTACCTGTTGGGCCATGTGGCCGTGTATTCAATTTTTGAATAAAGTGTGCCTAAATAAAATAATAACTTTTTTCGCCTTTAGCCCAATTTTTTTCACTTTTTATATCATTAATATTATTACCTATTATCACCATCGTCATTATAATCGTCATCATCATAATTATTATTATTACTACTAGTAGTATTGTAGTATTAAAACAAAACTTTATAGGGCTTACAAAAGGATAAAAACCAAACTGAACCATATAATATCACATTTCTGTATCTGAAAGACCTAACCTGAGATTTTTAAAATTCACGCTTAGGCCTATGTGTTATTATAGTAGACCTTATGTATAACGTGAGCTGATGCATATTTACATAGATTAGAAGTAT